TGGCGGTTATTGTAACTAGATTCCGGCCACGACTACCTGAACCCTGGCTCGAATCAGGCAACTATGTTAATATTAAAATGTTGGTCGCAGCAGTTGTATGTTGTTTCAAACTTTCTTCGGTCGGTTTTATTCACTATAAGTACTATAACAAGCCCGCCTTAGTCAGTTTTGTGACAAGGTGTCGCCGTCTCACTCACCGAACCCCCGAGGGGAGCACCTAACGTCTGCTTGTGGTACGCGTGAGCAGGAGAATCCGATGCACCGTGGCAACCAGTCGTGCGAGACACTGAGCGTAGTACTTGCTCCCGTAGTGTAAGGGGTCTACTAGCTGGTCGATGTTATATAGAATGGCACGCGCAAAAACCAATCGTGCGAGACACCGACGGTACGGTTAATTCCCATAAGCGATGGGTCAAAGTCACTGGTTTTTTATTTCATCTAAGTACGAGACAACCGAACTCCACGGTGACCGGCCACCGACATCGATACGCATAATTGGCGAAAAGAACACACACTGTCTGTCCATGGAGAAATAAAATAATAATAATAAAATAATAGTGACGCATTTACAAAATCGTGAGATTCCCATTTGATATACACATAAATTAATATTATAATCTCAGAGTAGCAGCCATCTTAAACAAAATTAATACAAATCAATTAACATACACAACTTCAGATTAAAAATAAAATACGTTTTAATCAAATATTAAAATAATCATCTCAAATATACATTTAACACTATCAAACATAATATGGAATTAAAAATTTGTCAAAAAGCAACATTAAGAGGTCTCATAGGTCAACAACCATACATTATATTTTCCCAACTTAATATTTACAATTAAGGAAAGAAAATAAACAGTTACTGCCATGGCTGCCATCTTAAGTAACCCATAACATAGGGCGACCAAATCGATCGCAATAATTTATGGATAGTACCTAATTCAACTAAAATCCACCGAAAACGCCAGACACGTTTGGCGAGTCGGTAAATCACGAGATACCGTGGAGAAAGCCAAAGTACAGCACAATATATAAACTAGTGTGACCACATTGTTTTAGTTTCGGTGGGAGTGACATATGTGGTAATAAAATTGTGATAAACTCACTTGATATCAGTTCAATCTAAAGATTGATGGCCCAGGAAATTAAGTTATTGATATTGAGTAATGTCCCGCTTCTTGTAACTTTATGGTCGTATTAGTTTTCCTATTAAATTTTAACGTGAAAAATTGTTATGGTTTCGTGGTGTCAGAGCCAGTAAAGTCTTGTAGGGGAATATAGGAATTAGGAATGACGTATAAAGAATGACTTTGAATTAATATGTGGGTGAAAGTAAGAGTATAACGGGAATGAGTTAAGATATCAAGATCATTTGGATAGGCTGGTTTTATAAAAAGTTCTAGAATGACGAAATGTCATATTTATGTGGCATGTTATGTCTTGAATGCTGATTAGTCTGATCACTTTTGCTTTCATAGTAAAAGGGGTATCTAGCCATACTTTCTTGTTTTAATGATTAATGTCATGGTCATCGCTGAAAATAAAAGAACTATTGTAATTGGATAACAACTTTGATTATGCTTCAAAAATCTTTTTGTGGGTGACTTCAGAGCAATTCGCTTATTCCTTGGCAACGCTAACTGATAGTGAAACAAGTGAAACAAGGGAAATAAGTGAAATAAGTAAAACAAGTGATTATACGAACGGAACAAATTAATATATTTCAAAACTAACTTTTAAAACTTAACAGACCAACTTAAACTACATCCAAACAACATGCGCTCAAAAAAGCCAAAATCCCACAAAACAAAACCGTCCCCCACCTACACAAGTAAACTTCACTAAAAACATTTCCCGTCTCATAATCTAAGTACATGGACGTATTACTTATAGATAAATTAATTTTATATCTGCAGTAAGTCGTGAGCTCGCTTTGCCCCCGGGCAGCGGCGGGCGGCGTGAGAACGGACTCGTGCGCAAGCTATCGCGAATTAACGTGCGTGGTACGACACGTGTCGTGAAGTGGATTATCTTGTGCCTTGATACTTGTACATCTTCATGAGATTCCTTTGTGACTTTTGTCATTAAGAAAAGTAATTTAATAAGGTATGGCACTGTTAGAATGTTCTGTTGTCATGATTCCGTCAAAGCTATTTATAGCCATCTTCATCAATAACCAACCGTTATAGTCGGCTTCTGTACTAGGCATATAGTATATGCCTCCTCTACTTAAAAAGGTTTTTCATAATCTCCACTCTTACCAGCCGGACAGTTTAAAACGTGTAACACGCACCCTCGTGTACCTCTTCAGGAATTAAAGTCAAAACATTTGTTTCAATTAATCCTTATTTAAGCACTTTTGAAACGTCATATGTCGTGTCAATATGTCGTGAATAGATATATGTTGTGATAGACGGACGGACATCCGTCTATCTATCAGTGAAGCTAGGCGCTAATTCTAAACTGTAGTTTCGAATGGAAAGAATAAGCAAGAAACTCCATCAGGTAATAGTAATGAATGATATGAAAATTACAGGTAATGACATAACATCACGCCTTTTATCCCTTAAGGTGTAGGCAGAGGTGCACATTATGTCACTGTACAATGTAACACCCACTTTTCGCTATTTATGTTAAGAGTCCCATGTAATAGGGGGTGAGGTAATGAATCAATACAATATCTGATCTTTTCCTAAAAGACTCATATTATACTGTGTTTATTCACACTGAGTAGCTGCTTTATCATCATCGGCCGAAAAACAAAAGCCTTCTCTTCAGTCTTCTACATTAAAGGAGAATTCATTACCTACTTGTCTCTCAATTGCGAATCGGACAATATCAACGGTCCACCTAGCGGACTGGTCTCGGCACTTTCCTGCTACAATAGTGTTGTTCGGTAGTGTTCAGTCCATCTTTCTACATATTATTCTTATATCTAAGCACCTACCTGATATATTTCAAAATCTTTCTATTACTTTACTTCCATCCAGGTACAATTGCGATTCACCATACGTAGGTACTTTCAATTTTCTCATGTCAATTGTTGCAATTGCAACGCTCTATTGGAGCATGGGGCTTTGTTTGTAGGCAGTACCCATGACGATGTCTCGATAGTACTGTCCGTTGGTGTAACTAAAGTGATGGACAAGACTATTGGTTTAGTAACACTTCTAAGTACAAAATGTTTGTAAGTACCTTATTTTGTTGTCTGCTTTGCACTTATTTATTTATTTATGTACACACATTTAACACAGAGGACAATACATATATAAAAACAGAGTACATAATTTTTACATAGTTTAGAGTCATTATTGTTTTGATACCAGAGGTAACTGTCCGCGTCGTTTGTGGGGTCCGCAGTGGCTAAACTAGTGGCAGCTAATGAAGTCAATATAAAAGGGATGCAAATGATTATTTAATGAGTTTACCTTTATTAATTTTGGGGTGTGGTGTTAACACTGACTCTTAACGAAACATGGCTGAAAGTGTTTTTTAAGTGCGACTACCATCGGTTCTCGACAACCTGCTAAGAGTGACACCATATTCTTAGTTATGCAACTGAAATAATGGCTATATAATGTATGAACAATACAATGTGCAGTTTGTAATGTTATAACGAATGTGTAATATTTCTTTAAACTGTATTTGTTACAGGAATCGTTAACTTACTTACAGCGGCTTTTCTCAAAAGCACAAATGTTCATTGTTAATGTGCTGGCATGTATTGGCTTGTGTATGTAATATTTTAGTATCTACAATATAATTGCTTGATTAACAATTTTATTAACACATTACTTATTAATGAGGCATAAAATTGTTAATATCAAGCACTATTAGGTGGCCGGGTCGGTTGTTTGAATGCAGTGCAGCTGTTAAACACAAGAGTTCAAGTTTGACCCTCGTTTAGTTTGTGTGCCAAACGTCAGGCACAATTAGCTTTCTTTAATTAAGTTGCTTAATCCTTAAAGGGTAGACATTCCCAACAAACTTAGGAGATACATAAGAAAACATTAAACATGGAGGCAAAATAAAATTTATACATTTGCTCGTTTCTGATTAGTATTGCAAAGAAACAACAACACAGACTTTAATTACAAAGGCCCATAACACCATTAATGACTTCAAACAGAACATCACAAATATAAATTTTCGTAATCCTTAATTCAGTATTAAAACAGATTTATGCACCTCATTATACGATTAGGCTTTAATGTCTGATAAATATTTTATGAGTCCTTTTGATCAATATAAACTCCAAGAATGACAGCCACTCTTGAAACTAACAGTCAGTTACATTCAGTCATAATTCATAGAAGAACCATAAAATTAGATGAAGTGACAATAAAGCAAATCCTAATAAATTCGACGACATGAATTACGTCGGCAATTCTATGTCATTATATTTTAAGCGGCCATTAACACATTAAATCATAATTGTAGGTGCATCTAATTTTACTGCTGATTCTGTATTCTACGCCGCCAAATCAAAGGTAATATGAAATTAAGAGAACATAATTTTATTTAGCTGCACGTAATGAAAGACAAAATGATGCAGATCCATGAAAACATGGCAATTTCATTAATCTACGCGATCATACAATATTGCATTCAAAACTATGTTTAATTGCTAGACCCTCAACAAACAAAAGTACCCACAGGTGATATTTTCTGAACCGTATTGAACGGCACTTCACTCAATTATCCCTTTACCGATGCGCGTGACCCACTGACAAAACAAGCGAAGCGATCGCCGCATCACATTGTTTTCCCATAGCCCGAACGATTCCATTCAGAATCTCATTACACTTGAAAGGGGTTACAACAAATCTGGCGCAACGTTTTCTCATGGACGTGTCTGTCGTTAGGGCAGCGTGAGGTGACCATTACTGCGTACAAAGAGTTGCCTAAAATAGAGAGCTTTTGTGAGGCGGGAAGACAGGCGAGGAACGAGGTGGGGGCGGGGCGGTCGCCGGCTGCCCGGCGGCTCAGTCGCGCCGCGCCTCACAGCCGCCTCGCACGCCGCACCACGGAGCGTGCCTCTCGGACAGTGCACGCGCACGCGATACCTCCCCCGCCGCGCCCCTCTGATAACACGTGCACATAACACTAGTGGAAATCTACAGATGATATCAAACTCCCATTGAGCAAAGTTTCACAATGCAAGAACAAAGTTCGTCAAGATCCAACAAGTCTACGTTAAACTCACTGGAAAGCGCGATCATCAAACTGAAAAACAACTTGCAAATACAGGACACTAAGACCACAGACATGAACGGTTTGTTGGCTGCAGACCCACCGTCACCACATTCGGATGCCAAACCAAATGCAAGTAAGAGTCCTAGTTCTTCCCCATCTACAAATATTAATTTGTCTATTGCGTCCGCCGCATTATTACAAGAAAACATGCTTCAAAGATCACTACAAGGAGTAGTTATATCTTTACAAAATGCAATGATGAGTTCACTACAACAAGCAGCTTTACTCCCCTCAAACTCTGCAGCTGCTGCAGCACTGAATTTACAAGCTTTAGAATCATATTTGACATTACAACGCTTAACATCAGTGTCCACTGTAAACAATACAACACAACCTAGTACAACGGAAAACAGTTCATCATCTAAACAAGATATCTTAAGGATAGCGACGGCGAGTGCTAAAATAAGTGAAATAGATGCATCGGATACCTCAAAAGAATTTTCACCTAAAACACCTGAGGAATATCCATTATCTGATGCCATAGCGGCAGAAGATGTGGATTTATCTGAAGAAGTAGAAGAAGACTTGGCCCTTTTAGATAACGAAGATGAGTTTACATTGGAACAGCATTTAGAATCAACATCAAAAGGTTATGGATATAGTTCGTCTCAGAATCTAGATAACGGGTACCCCAGTCTTCTCATGAATGCAATGTATCAACAACAAATGAATGGGAGTCCATCACAAGCTCCGTTATCTCCACAAGCTTCGAATTCTTCAAAGTCAACAAATAGTTCAACATCTTCGACAGGCAGTAGTGTATCAAATAAACAAAAGACTGGAGCAACTGGTCCGAGAACGAAGAAACAATTTATTTGCAAATTTTGTAACCGACAATTCACAAAGTCATATAATTTACTTATCCATGAAAGGACACACACAGACGAGCGACCATACTCCTGTGACATTTGCGGGAAAGCTTTCCGACGGCAAGATCACCTGAGAGATCACAGGTAAAATGTTTTTAAATTTTAATATTAAATAATATAACTAAAATAAAGTTACTCCTGACTCATCCAGTACTATATTTTCCAAATAGTCATAGTATCGAACCCATACTTTTTAATTTATATCTGTCTTCAAGGGGTACACCTAATGGAAACGACTTCTACTAATGAATCAATAAAGTCTCAATCGTATCTTATCCGTGATTTATTTTAATTAGGCTTTAACGTTGTATTCTGCAATCAAACACCTGTCGATTTCTAAAACAGCCTCATTTGGACCTTAGTTTTAGATAAAAGTATGGTTCATTTGTGTTTTTCATGACAAAAGGTTCCCGTGGAGATGCTGTCAAATAAGATAAAACAATATTACAACCGTGTCGAGAAACATTTTAAGGTTCACGATACTCATTTTTCGATATCAATAAAAGATTTTGGTCGTCGGGTTTCAACGCGAAACGTTATGAGAAACTTTTGAATAATGGAGGGGAACGAATAAAATATTTTAAAACAAAAAGGGTTAAGTATGGACCGAGCAGATGGTATCGACAACTCTTTCGTCACGCTCGTAAATTATTTCACAAAACCGCCGCTAATCCCAAGAGAGACGATGTTTTAATTTTGGCTTTTCATTTTGTTTTCTTCCCGACTCCTTTGCATTCCATATAAATCTCTGAGCATATCTCTTTTCATATCAAAATATTTATCCTTTTAAAACGTGTCCACAATGCACTCAAATAAGATGTTAGTGACCGTTACAAGAACTCAAATTCCAAACATCACGTGTCTTCAACACAATAAATTTGATAATAGTGTTACAACAACTCTCAATCTATTTCTTTACTTATCTCCTCGAGATCCCCACCCAAAAAGAACTAAAGGTGTTGAATTTTTACACCTGTCTCTCGGCGATTTCCTCCCAAATCACCGTATCTCTGTGGCAATAAAATAAATTTCGTGTAGACGCCGGAGGGTTAACCCGAGCTCGGCTCGGCCCGGCCTGTCGATGTTCAATCGATGTCCGTTGACACGATACATTATAATGGACCGGAGCGGGCCTTCGACGGGTTTTAACAAAGCACGTGGTGATCCTGACGTGAGGATTAATATGGATGACAAAAAAAAAATAAAAAAAGACTTGGTAAATATTCTCCGCATACAAAATCAAGTTTCGATGTTCGAAATTTTTTGTGTAGATTGAAAGGATAATGGACTTAAATTAATTTGTATCTTGTTTAGTAGGTAATATGGACGTCGATTTTTGCAGTCCTAATTTTCTTATTCATGCACGGTTTAGTTCGATTAAAATCATCAATTAGTATGGATAATGTGAATTTCATAGACCATCAGTCTGCATTGCAGGCTTAATTAATCAGTGTTGTCGCGTTGGTTCGAGTTAGGCCTAACGCGGCGCTCGCGCCGGTGTCACGATACGGTCGACTGCACGCGCGGCCGGCCCGTCTTAATCACCATCATCATCGCGTGTTTTAATATTGAAATTATTATTTCATTCATCATCTTGTAACTCGGCTTTATCGTCACCGATCTAACTAATCCCAACGATTATTACATGTATTACGTTACTTTGAACGGCTCGTAATTTTCTTGCCTCGAGTCTGTTTGTTTATACGATACGGAGATAATTTTCTCGAATTGTACACTCGATCGCTGGTCCCTCGTGCTGTGTTATTATTGATTACACGATGCTCGGTGTGTTAATTATACGTTGTATAGTTAAATTTAATTTGAAATCAGTTGCTATCAACATTTGTGAGAAATATAAACCATATGTTTTATTATAATTAAAACTTACGTCCACGTAATTATATGCTGTTTTACTGGGTGTAAATCCAATAATATATAATTTATGGTTTCTCTAAAACGTTTTGTGTCGATAAATATTAGGACGTTTAAGTTCGTGATTTGTGAATGAACAAATTCATCTTGTTTGTACCGATAATGTTTTGCAAAATGTAAAGGCAGGGTGTAAATTAGTGATATTGGATATAATGCTGAGAGGGAACTGAAATTTATTACCGATAACCCTGGGGCTCTTGTTTGCTTCCCGGCTGCTCCCACAAGGTGTGCAAAACACGCGAGGGCGAATGTTTCGGCGCCTGCAAACATGATGTATTTATTGAGCTCATCATTCTCATCTCTACAACATGTTGAACATAAACAATTTCTCTGTTCAGATGCAACTTACACTCAAATAATGAAACATGTTACACATGTTACATTCTTAGTTCTAACGATAGTAATTTCCCAGCTGCTTTTAATAAATAGATTCATTCTTCGGCGAGTTTGCCTATAGTTGCTAGACATAATTTTGCACGAATATTTCAAACAAAAGCGTTTAATATTCTGTTAACGATAAACTTTCAAAGATAACACTTAGTTTCCAAGTATTCAATATCCTTACACCGCACAATGAGTGGAGGTGGTGTTCGAACTCTCTAAGAACTTTGTTGCGTGAACATTTTACTGCCATCGACGAAAAACAACGATGTTTTCTAAGAACATAAACTTCACATAAAACCTAACATTCTCAACAGTGACGTGTATTTCTTATTTATACCTTGTATGTTAGATAGTGAGATTTGTTTTTTATAATTTCCAATAAATCACTTAAAAAAACCTTGAAATCTTTTAACAGTATATTCTTCTTTCAGGTACATACATTCGAAGGAGAAACCGTTCAAATGTTTGGAATGCGGCAAGGGTTTCTGTCAGTCCAGAACGCTAGCTGTCCACAAAATTCTACACATGGAAGAATCTCCCCATAAGTGTCCAGTTTGCAGTCGAAGTTTCAACCAAAGGTCGAATCTAAAGACCCATTTGTTGACACACACAGACATAAAACCATACAACTGTTCCTCATGTGGAAAGGTTTTTAGAAGAAACTGTGACTTGCGACGCCATAGTTTGACACATAATCTCGTTGGAATATCATCAGTGAATACTTCTCCGAGTGGCAGTAATGGAAAGAGTCCATTACTGAATCCGAACTTCCCAATCGACAGCTTAGATACAGAAGATGAGAATTAGTATTTATGTGTATTAGTGGCAAATACAAAAGACTGATTTTTTACTCCTAAAATGGTGCCTTTTAGTATTAAGTTATCCAAGGCATTAACTCATGCCATCAGCGTCAAGATATTTGAACGAAAAACATGTTCATAAGAGTAGATATTGCGTTTAGTGTAAAAACTGAATTTTATTTATATTCTAAATTCCCTGTTTAATATGTTTGTTTAAAATATGATTTCTTTAGATGATTTTTCAGTTTGGCAGCGGCAATTATTGTGTAGAAATTAACTCTTGCAATATCCTTACTTTGTTTGGGTTTTAGTATTATTTAGTTGTAGTTTTATTTTTCCTTAAATCTTGTACATTTTCTGATCTCATTTTGTGTCTGTAAATATAAATTATGGCTAAGTCAATATGTGCATTCCGTCCACCTAAATGTTTGTGTAAAAATATGTTATGTATAGAAGGGTTGTGTCTAGTAATGTCTTCCTGCTTTATGGGATGGTTAAAAGCGAATTTTATTCGAACTTTCTCGAAGCCTTTTGTATTATCCAAGATCTTATTTAGATGTTATTTTTAATGTAATTAAATTGATGAATTTAAATTTAGATTTTTATTTTACTTAACCTGTAATTATATGACTGCCTCGTTGGTCGAGTGGTCGCAAGTGCGACTGCTGGGCAAGGGGTCTCGGGTTCGATTCCCGGATCTGGCAAAGTACTACTGGTTTTTTTTTAATTCTCAGTAGTAGCACGGAGTCTACAATTGTGCCCGGTATATGAAAATAGGCCCACCCCCTATTAAATCGGACTCATAACATAAATAGTGAAAAATGGGTGTTACATTGTACCTACTGTGGCAATGTGCACCTCTGCCTACCCATTCGGGGATCAAAGGTGTGATGCTATGTTATGTATGTGAATACTCCGTATCCAAGTTTAGTAATAAATTCATGTCCTTTTATCATTTGAAAAGTTTTGATCCGGTTAAAATTGTAAATATTGGAATAAATAAACTATATATTAAGTTCTACTTGTATAATTCAAAGTAGTTTTGTGATCATCTTCATACGCAACACAATTTAGGAAATCTCCACAATTTCCGCACTTCCTGTGTTCTTCATTTTAAGAGTCTAAAATTACATACCCCAGACTTCTGCGTAACGAGCCTCAAATAAAATTATAGGTACCTGATACAGATGCCTTCTCAGAAACAAATGAATCATTTTGATGACCATTCCCATGTCATTCTTAGGGAAAGACTTAAGAATAATAATTTGAGTTTATTTTTTACATACGAACGGAAATTGTTCGAAAATAATTCCTTAGAAAAAAAACGTAGGTAGATGAAAATGTGAAAATATAGAAAGTCCTTAATAAAGAAAAGTTAATCGTTGCAAAGATGATTAAAGCGAGGGAAAAGAGCAAGTAGGTATAAGCAGAGAATATAATTTATTTATTTTTTATATTCAATTAAAATGGTATAAAATTACAGTATTTGATATGTATAAACCAAAGCTAGTAAGTGCCAAATAATTATAAAAAAAATATTACAGTCAGCAGACTTGCATCATAGTCAGAACAATCCATCTGTCGGTAGAAAAGGTCAGTAGCTAAAGATAGAAATTAACACATAATAATTATAATATGGTAATGGAGTTAATGCCAATAATTCTATAGTTTAGTATATAAAAGTGTCATACTATATATAGTATGAAACTTTTCTTGGTCCCCAGGCAAGTGAACTACATGAGGATATTGCACATCGGGGCCCCAAAAAAAGTGTAGTGCAATTCAGAATGGATGTACCTAAGAATCAACATAACTAAGAATAAAAATCTCATGCACAACAGTTCTCGGAGTTTGCAACCACTCAATCAACGGGGCAATCTCCACACTACTATTCAAATGAATTAACAAAATTGACCTTTGTCAATCTGTCTGTCAAGTTCGAGAGCAACTTGGACTAGACTGATGAGAATAGTCGTTATTCATACATGCTGCAATTAATATCTAGGCTTGGTCTTTAAATAGGAGATAGGTGTTTTTTTAAGGGGGAAAAATCATCGAATTACTTCTCCCGCCAGCGTGAGGCGCGAGGGAGTGTCAGACTCTTACTGACTAAAAACCACCCCGTTCCTTCTCCTGCACGTCGAGCCGGAGCCCCGGTTACCCTCTAGGTTCTCCGCGACTTCGAATCGGCATCGGCCCTGTTGGGCCCCATCTTTGGTGGTCTGATGGCTCTTTGAGGCGCGCGTAGAACGCGACGCGCCGTACGCTCGGGTCTGTTTCTGGTCGGACGGGGACCCACCCTTGCTCGCCGTCCGCAGGCCCGAGGAGATAGGCGTAACTGTAAAATTTACGTTACCTACTAGGTATAGATATATTTCTGCCTTCTTATTGACGATTTCTATAACCTGTCTCGATCTAAATTTTATGGATTATTATGACTCGAATTTTGACATTAGTTGTATAGTGTGACTGCCTCGTTGGTCTAGTGGTCGCAAGTGTGACTGCTGGGCAAAGGGTCTCGGGTTCGATTCTCGGGTTGGTCAAAGTATTACTGGGTTTTTAAAAATTCTTAGTAGTAGCACGGAGTCTGAAAATGTACCCGGTACATTTGACACCCCCTATTACATGGGACTCATAACATAAATAGTGAATAGTGTGTGTTACATTGTGCTGTGGCATTAAGTGCCGTAATATGTACCTTTGGGGATAAAAGACGTGATGTTATAGCGTTTCTGTCAAAAATTGATCTTACCCAGAAATTTTGGGTTGAGATAGGTAATTGAAAGTGGCAGTTAGTTGAGTGGCCATAAGTATCGACAATGAGATTTCAAGTTCAAAATTCGAAAGTTATTAAGCACGGGCTTTGAAATTGTGCCCGACATATGACAATAGGGTCACCCCCCTACAATTACAAGAGACTCATAACATTACTAGTAAAAGTACGTTTCACATTCTGTATTATGTGCACCCCCATCCAGTCTATCACGGATTAAAAGGCGTGATGTTGTTAAAAAAAAAAAGTTATCACGCCTAAAAAGCAAGGGTAGGAAGGCAACTAATATAAGTATAGTAACTTGGCAATATAGTACTAATGCAAATGATAAAAGAGTCTATTAGTATAACATAAGAATCTCCCTCAGTGCCCGCTATAAAAGTAAACGGCGTGGTGCTTTATAGACCTTTATAAAACCATTATTCACCACGCTATCAAAAATTATAACCTCAAAAGAAACATTGGTATCAAACATAAAAATAGCGCATTATCATAAAATGAATGGTTTTACAATTTGAATTAAGTTCTGCATCAAATTAATAGATGGCGTTACAAGTCACCTTGTCACTTAATATGCGCATGAGTTGACAAGTCTCTCTGTTGCAGGTGTCATGAATTAATACGTCATTATATCATTTCTAACAAAAGTCTTACTTAAAGGTAGCGGTACTTGCTGAATATGATTAGTACTTTTCTTTGTTTAATTTTAATTATCAGTTATGATTTAAGTAACTAATAATTAAAGTATTTATACCATTTACACTAAACTCAAAAAAAATTCAAATCCATAGAAACAAATTAGAATGGGCTTGGATTTACAGCAATTTGACCTTACTTTTAGTAACCAATTTCACCAAACTAGGTCAGAAAAGAAACTGCCAATGTCAATCTAGACTTTAGGTACAAAAGACTAATTTAAGTGCCTCATTAATTCAGATTAATCATCATTATACTTACAAGTCTAGTCTTATTAAGGCGATGCTTGTCAGATTGTTAGATCGCCGGTTTTTAATAGCTAATTTCTTTGTTTCTTGACTCTAGAGTGTCAGTGCACCTTGAAGAGTGTCAATATATCACCAATTGAGTCACTGAATGAGCTCCTCTAAATCAAAATCTGTCTTAAGCCAGGACATTGTTCTGAATAGAGAAAAGGCCTATACAAAAAATCTGATTAACAAAAAATTATATTAATTTCGCACTCAATCTGTTAAATGCATCCTTTCTTCAAACTCAACAAACACAACAGATGCTCTAATAACCGTAGTACCGTATAATAGACGCAAAAGTAGTAATTATAAAGGTCAAAGTAAAAGGCACAACGAAACACGACCATTAGCAACAAAGGACGACTACTGAGCTTGAAAAATCGTTTCAATTCAACACCAAATCGATGCAACGCAATTCACACGAATAAAAAGACTATTCGATCCAGTCCCACACAAAGACCCTTAAGAGTGTATCAAAATGACATAAAGCTCGATTCTTTTCTTAAACACAAAACACGTTTATAATGGTCCACATGTCTTACTTTTTTTGTCAGTTTTCGGGAATAGATGACGTGTTAAAAAGGTAACAAATTGTACGCCTTCCCGGGCAACGTATCTCGTTTCCTTACCAACCGTCATATATTACGTCATTACAACGATTCGAAATTCGAAATGAACCGTTGCCGATTTTGTATATTTTGTGATTGGCTGCCATATTGGTTATGGCAATTTTGAATACGTTCTAATTACAAACAGGTGTTGGTGTTGGCGTTGCCAAATTTTTGGTTTTGAGGGTTCGGCCATGACCGAAATATTAGAACGGGACTGTTATAAGTTTAAGCTTGACTTTTGACGGGCGTAGATAATTCAAATAACATAACGCTAAATAGTAAATATCAACTCATCTTTATTGAGCAATAATGATGTAGTAAGAAGCAATCAGTATTAGGACATCACAACTAAGTTACTGTCACAAGGGGATAAAAACACGAGGACATAAAAACGATCCCCAAAAAAGTGAAACTATCACAAGGCCACACAATATCAAAGATCAAGACCACTCACAACAAAACAAAAGCGACGCAAACGTACCTTTCTTAAATGCGGTGACAACATAATAATGCGCCGCGTCTCCGCCTCCCTTTATACCCGTAAATTATTCACAAATTACCTACATAGTGATCGGAAATCCAGCTGAGTTAAACAAAGTCCTGCCCTTTTTTTCAAGTATTGTCAACGATACTAAAATTACTGTCACAAAAGATTACGGTTACATCTCGAAGGTGTTTGAAAAATATTTGCTTTTGGTGTTTCGAGTGCGTATTATCCCCGTATTTAGTCGGCGACTTTATTCGCGACCACACACAGGGTGCAAAAAAAATGTCAGTGTGAAATTATATAAGGTGTTTTGACAATGGAGTACGTGCGTTTCCAACGTTTCGTATTTTTAAACATGGGTTTCGTTTCGTGTTTGTCTTCGTTTCAA